CCCGCCGCCACCCCCGCCCCCGCACCACCACCACCATCACCAACACCAACACCACACCGGTAACTGCACTATATTCTCCCATCCAAAGTAAGCCGTGTGGCATTTAACGATGTCAACAATTTTATCTTAATGTATTTTAATTTCAGGTCGCAAACATCAAAGCCGCCTACAAGCGAAAACGCCCCCGAGCAGAGAGAGACCGAAGCTCCCCGTGACCGGCGAGCTGGCCAGGAACGACTCCCTGAGCTCGCTCAGTCTCGACTCCTTCGGTTCCACAGATCGGGAAATATTCGAGGAGACCGTGAAAGCCGGACTCTCGAGCGTCAACCCTCGCGCGAAGTTCACGCTGGAGAGCAACAAGGGCAAGGCGCACTCGGTGGAGCGGCCGGCGGACCCCGCGCGCCACGCCCGACACCACAAGTCCCTCGACCGCAGCGACAACATCGCGAACCACCGCCCCGCGGTCAAGGACCCCGAGTTCGAGCGGAACCTGGCCTCGGGCGCCTACAGCATCAAACCCACCAGCAAGGTCAAGAAATTGGAACAGGACTTTGCGGCGTTTAACCTCACCAGATCCCCCTATTCGTACCACGGCGAGACCTCCGGGTACTCGCTGGCGCTGCAGTCCCGCTACAGGGGGCACACCTCCCGCTTCTACGACGACGGACCCCCGAGTCTGCCTGCACGAATGGAGGACCCGCGAAGGCAGCTCGAGAGGAGCAACTCCCTCAGCTCGCTCAGCAACGAGTCGTTCGGCTCCACCGACAAGGAGGTGTTCGAGCGGTGCGTGCGCATGGGCATGTCCAAGGCCCAGCCGAAGAAACGCGACGAAGGCAAGCTGAGGGTCAGAAGTGACGACCGTCTGGAGATGAGAGAGTCCCACAGACGGCGTAGAAAGGAAAACAAAACCCAGGGGGCGCTGGAAAAGATGGTCGGCGAGGAATATTCGAAGGATAGAGCGATTTTGGAGGAAGTTATAGCTCGAGGCGCCGGCGAGAGCAAAACTCAGGCCCGGAGCGAAACCAAGACCCAGTCAAAAAACGTCCCGGCGCCGTCTGCGGACAGCGCAACCGCAGACGAGCTCGCCGACACCGCGCCGCCAACTGGCTGTGACTGGCCTCCCGCACCATCTTCGCCACCCCAGCATCACGCACACCACATCCTCGAGCCCGACACCACGGCCGACACCACCGCCGACTCCAGCGATAACACATATGAGCCCACCGAGATTGAAATAGATCGCTCCAACGAGTGCCTCGCCCCCAAGTCCGCCAACACCACCATAGAGTCCGACCTCAAGGACGAACTCAACAGGTCCAACGAGTCGTACGCGGACGTGCTTGACGGCTCCTGGAGCGACGACGGCTCCCACCACGAGTATGCCACCACCTTGACTCGAAAGAACAAGCACCAGTGGACGGACATCAAGCATGCCAGTCCCACGGACACCGTCATCGCCCCCGAGGAGCATTCCAAGAGAACCGACACCTGGAACGACAACACTTGCCCAGACGACGTCACCTTCCCCACGATCAGCGGCTCCGTGCACATGGTCTCCTCCATCAGGAGTGAGGTCGTCGAAGCGAATATGGCGCTGCCCGATTTATTGGAGAAGAGCGAAGCCGCCAACTTATTTTCGAGACCGGACTTGACCGACAAGTTGGACAATCAGAAACTCCACATAAGCGAGGACGGCGCGCCCGGCGACGACATAATGATTAACGTGGAGCCTCCCTTCGACTTGGATGTTAACGAGCACAAGTTCGATTCCATTATATCGTCGGCTATAGAAAAGGAAGCGGCCAGACTCGCGGCGCAGCTAAAGAACTCCCCGTACGCGATGGAAGCGAGCGTCACCTCGCTCACTTCCTTAGATTTGGACAACATCAAGCCGCCATCCAACCTGGGCAGCCTTTTGTCCTTGAACGCCTCGGCCCATTGGGACGAGCCCTCATCCCAGTCGCCAAAGAAAAATAAAAATCGGAAGAAGTCCCTACCGGTCGCCCTAATGGTTAAAAGAGCGCTCAGCAACTCGTTCCACCAGGGCAGCTCCGAGCATTTAGACAACATTCCCGTCAGCCTCCTTGACAATATCAAGCCGCCTTCCGAGATGGAGCACATCGACATGGAAGGCAGCATGATATCCGTCGCGAGCATCGCTTCCGAAGTCGCCGACGTCAAGGACAAGACGCCGATCGTGTTCGACTTCAAGCAACCCGTGCAAGACTTCCCGCTGTGCAGCACCTTCACCGGCGTCTTCCACGACCTCGACAAGGTCAACCCGCCCTCGCTGTTCGACGAGATGGCCACCTCCACCTTGGAGATCGAGCAGACCACCGCGCACGAGGTCTACGACGAGTGCATTTCCAACACATTGAACGTCGTCACCGACATACCCTCCGGCTCGGAGGAGTGCACGCCGCTGCCCTCAGATATCAGCAGCGTCGAGTCCACGCCCAGGAGGCACCGCGACCCTCACCATCTCACCCCGAAGGAGAAGAGAAAAGCATCCAGCAGTCGATATCAAACGTACACAATTACCGATACCGTATCCGAGAGCGACGTCGCTCTCGACATCGTCGAGCCGGACGATTTCGTCACTTGGACCAAATCCGAAAGCGACAGGTCCGACGAATACGTCACCGCGACATCTGAACCCAAGTCCAGGAGACGGTTGAGCGCCAAGCAAAGGAGAATAGAGGACAGAGCTAGGTATCAGACGCAAACCGTCAGCATACACAACATCCCGCCGCGGGAGAGCGCTCCCGCCTCGCCGCCCGACCCCAGCATAGAGAGTCTGAAGCGGAGGCTGGCCGCCAAGAAGACCATCAAACAGAAGCGCGTCGAGGACGCCGAGAGGTTCCGAACGAGAACCCTCAGCGAGGACATACCGCCTTCGCCCACATTCGTCACAAAGGACGCCAACTTTGAAAACGTGGAAACGACGACCGGCTACGACAGCCTGTCTTCCAACGAGCCCACGCACCAGCAGCTGCCCGACGAGCGCGACCTCCCCAGCGGCGACGGGGACAGCGGCCACAACGAGGACGACTTCGAGCTCAACTCCACACAGATGCAGACCTACACGCGCAGCTTCCGGCACTACCTGCCCGTCGTGGAGAGTCCTGCCGCCGTCGACATGTGCGTCCTCAACAACCTGAAGAACATCGAGATGACCGCCTCGTACCGCCGCGCCGCGCCCGCCTGCAGCTCCGGACCCGAACCCGACATCTGCTCCGAGGACAGGGCGCACTCCGAGTCCGATACCGACACGCCCCGATTGCGCCCCAAGCCCAAAATTATTAAACCGGAGAGACGAGACGAGAGCGTGGACTCCAACGAATCCGGAGAAAAGGAACAAGATGTACCTAAAGCGATCAGAGGACGGAAGAAAGCCATGTACATCTCTCCCTACAGGAGGAGCGTCCCGCCCGCTAAAAAGCAGGCGACGCCCGCAAGGGCCGCCGCGAAACCCACCCCGAGCAAACCTGCGACCAACGTTGCAAGAATAGGCGCAAAATCCACAATCAAACCGCCTACAAAGGTACCGAATCCTAGCACCTCACCCAAAAAACTATCGAACAAATCACCCTCTAAGACATTGCAACAAAGAACCGTAGCCGTTCCGCCCGCCGCCACCAAGCCGCTCCCCCTCACGAGGCAGGGCACCTTCACCAAGGAAGACAGCACCGTGCCGCCGAAGGACTTGCCGGAACCCGACAGGAGGAATGCGACAGCGAGCAAGACCGCCGCCGCTGCGCCCCACACCTCCCCCTCCCGCCTACCGCAGTACTCGCGGGGCGCGCGCCCGCCGCTCGCCAAGACCAGCATCAACACCGGCAAACTTGCCAAGACGACGGTCAAGAAACCTCCCGAGCCCGCCATGAAGAACTCGCCCTCGAACCACAGCCTGCAGAGCAACGACAGCGGGAAGACCATCGTGCTGGCGCGCGGCTCCCGGCAGGGCAGCACCTCCAGCGTCAACTCACTCTCCTCCAAGTCGACGCGGGACGTCGAGAGCAAAGTCGCCAACGTGTGGAGGAAGACCGACAAGAAACCGACCAAAGCGGACAAAAAGGTGGCCATAGAGGGAGACACGCCCAAGCTGATCAGGAGCTCGACGTTCGAGGGCCAGCCGAAGCTCAGCCAGATGACCGCGCCCAAGCAGAAGACCGCCATCGGCATGCGCGTCTCACAGATCCCCAGCTTCAAAGCAAAGCCAACGCCCGCGAGCACTCAGCCCAGGCCGGGCCAGCAGCCGGCCACCTCCGCCAAGAAACCCACCACCACACGCCCGTACGCTCGGAGACAACTTAGCGGACAATTGACTTCGTAAATTGAAATGTGCCGTCCCTTCATATATTGACTTTCGTCACAGGAATAGACATTGATGTAATAATTCGTTTGACATGAAATGCTGACATTCTAATTCTATGATGTAGTTTTGTGACATTCTTATAATTTACTATTATTATATCGAAAATTTTCTCAAAGATAATTAACCGGCAATTATAATTTATAGAAATATTTTGATCCAAACATAAAGAGTTGCGCGTCAATTATAGTCAATAAACAATATGCAAACTTCCCTCGAGTGCCCGACGAGCGGCGATCTCAAATGCTTGGACGTTAGAATAATAATATGATTATAGCTTTCTATTTAATAATTCATATGATTTTTGTCTAATTATAAATGATTACTTTTATTCTTTATATTTCTATGCATTTATTCAACTGGAAAGTGACTGCAATTTAGTTCTTAGAATTATGTAATATTGACATTTTTGATTTTCCTATATACCTATTTAAATTATATGTTGTGACTGACGGACACCACTGTTATGTATAAAAACAATTTATAATTTTTACATCAAAATTATTAGCAAGCCGAATGGATTTTTCGTCGAGAAACATGAGTTTTCTCGGCGGGAATTATGAAATAACGGCACGAAGAGCATTGTAAATATCACACGAAATGCGTTTAGCTTTTAAGGTTACCATTACATCTACTTTGTATATTTCTCATAATTATTCATGATTAGTATATAAAATGAGGTCGCGTCGCTTCGATAGTAAAAATGACGGCATAATTGAGCGTATGTACTAATTTTTTTACGTCTAGTCAGTTAACGTTAGATATGAGTGAGAACAGTAGAAATTTTTTGGCGGCAAATTTTCTAAAATTAAATTAGGCATCTTCAATGTAACCGTAGTTGAAACCGGCTTCCTATAGTTAGTGACAGTTTATCGTAACCAATATTATTATATTTAATTTTATATTCGCTTTTTATTAAACATTTATTCCTCTAATTAGTGATAGGTAAATATATTATAATAATTCCAGTCGTTGTGAAGCGCGGGAATGCTTTATTTATTTAGTTTCGGGCTTAAGTCGATCTTATTCAACGAAACTTCATCCAATCTTTATATAGTTTTGTACTTGATTCCTTTAAGTATCGGTAAGTGATAGCTTAATGTACTTTTATGTAACCACAGCGATTTAGATGCAAATAAACAACGGACAAGCAAGATTGCTAAATGAATATATGAATAGTTGTAAGATGCGCAATGCGACGACGGTAATAAATCATATTTACCTCGATATCTCTTGTTTCATTTACACTTATTGTCTCCTACATCCTGTTATCTTTTGTCCTCAACTTTACAATCGTACCATATCATCACTTAACATCAGGCGAGATTGTGCTCAAGCGCTACTAGCTTATTCAATAAAAAAAATTATAGTTCAAGTTTCTGTGAATGAGCTATCAAAGTCCTGCCGTTGATTCACTTCAAACCATAATTCTAAGATAAAGGATATAAGAACGGATCATAAATAAAATTCAACAATTCGAACTAAGATCGTTTATTATGCCAATTATGGTCCAATACAAGTAACTCTGATTTCGAATGTCAATTCTAAATTAAAACGAAAACATGCATACGTTATATCATTGTTATAGCATATCAACTATGAAAAAACCTATGTCCCTTATATTTATGGCTCTCATATATAACATACAAAATATTAACAAAAACTATAATTACTGTATTCATGGAGGCATGCAGAGGTAGATCGGTATATCGCAGCGGCGGTCGGGCGGGGGCCGGCAGTGTCGGTACTGGCTATATCAATATGCTTAACCTACAACTTGTAAACACATATATAAAACTACATCATCTTAATCAGTAACAAATGTGGGTAATTGTATATGTTATAAAAAATGTATATATAAAATATGGAGTCCCCCGCACCGGAACCGCGACGCTGTTTCCTTAAAAGCAACAGATCCTATCTTACAGAAAGAAAAACAAAAATCCCAGATACTATAAAAGTAATGTAAGAACAGCAAATTTCTATTTACAATTAAAAGCGTTGCGCAGAAAAACATTGGCTCTTAAAGTATTATAATCCGCCAAAAACATCGAGATAAAAGAAAACGCGCCCCAGTCGCCAGCGCCATCTATCTGTCTCTACGATTAATACTATTGTAATGGTAGTTTCATTTAAAAACATTCTCTTATTAAAAATCGTATAAAATATTAAATACATCATAACATGGATTCACTTCAAATATATATTTGTATAAAACGAATTGCTTTAAGAACAGACATGTTATGTAAATAGTAATAAAAAATAAATATATACTTTATTAAATACTTCTGTTTGGTTTGCTATTTATTGCTCAGGAATCAACAAATAAAAAAATCTAACATATGCAATCTATCTATATAAAATACAGTCCTTTTATAAAATTGTAAAATGTAAACAAATACATCTTAAGGCTATTTGATTGATAGGAACTTTACTGATTGGCTAAGGGTATAACTGCTTTAAGGACTATGTTATCAAGCTTATACATAGTCTAATGACGTGGATGGGAACATTGGCGACAATTGGGCGACAAATGGGCGACAGGGGCGCGACAGGCTATGTACAGCGTTCACATTGAGACACGACAAACAATGACAATTGGAACGCGAACGCCTATATATAGGTCTATTAATGTATTAGACACGCTAAAGAATATTCATTTTGGAAAGAAATTTAGTACAACTACATACATGTATTTAGAGCCGGGTTCACGTATTGTAAGAGTAACACACCACATCAAAATTTACTTAGACTATTACAGATTAGATATTAATTTACTGACACATTTTTACAGCTGAGACTTTGCCCTCGCACTAACGCTTCTCTATTTAACTATGGAAAATATTTATAACGAATTTACGATATTATTTTATCTCATAAAAGTTCAAAATGCAAAATTACTGACTCATTGTTTTTTGTTTTTTTTTTCAATATGTGCAGTGCGCGGGCAAAAGTCACGTGGCATGTAGAGCGAGTGCGTCATACTTAATACGAGACACAAAACAGCGACTAAACGAAGGAACCCGGCCTGAAGCTTACAATTTAAGACAGATTTAGATGGGAACTAATTTGTACACGTGTCGGGTATTGGGGTAGTATTGTTGAACCATCCACTGAGGCTGATCTCTTACATATCGAGTTATCGTAAAACACTTCCGTAAAATAGAACCACAATACCCTGTGCTCGACTATAACCTAACACCTAAAAGCTAGGGACAAACAGGTCGCAAAAGTTACAAATATACGAATTTTCCACATCAATGTGTGTACATAAATAAAAACAAAGATACGTCGAAGTACAAAATTATTACAGGGAATATAAAATTATCAATAAATGTATAAAAAAGTGGATATTTAACGACCCGCGACGCTCATAGCGCTCGGGTCCCATTGCAACCAGCTGCTCACAGAAGAGTGTCAACAATCACTTGCGCACAGCGGTACTGCGCTCGGGGCGTCACCTACTACTCTATGGCACAGCGCGAAGTTCCAGAGCAACGCTTACTGCATCGTCCAAAATATAGTGTCCTGCAGTGACGCCTCTCACGCTAACAAAACAATACAATATACACAATACTTCACTTCTGCGTCAAAGTGAAAAAATAATAAATATAACTTAAAAAAAAAACTTCTTATTCTGAAGAGCTATCGTTAACCTGAAAATATCGTTGGATTGTTCCCTTTGCGACTGAAATTACATCGAAATGGTTTATTATGATTATAGAAGTTTTGAATAAGTACTATTACACAGAACAATGATAGCCCGCTGGGGGCGAAGACTTATGAAATCCACCAAATTTATACTAAACTGTCGTCATGGAGCAAAATACACTGCGACACTGGCCCGCTATTGATCAAATCAAACGCGCTTCATCCACTCCAATAACACCAAATTACTTTTTGCATCTACCTCACCAGACAATCATAGCATGACAGATAATTTAGATTTACGAAAATCACATAGATTGAATAAATTTATTTTTGCAGCCAAGTAATCTGATGTTATTAATGTATTTTAAATGATGCATATCGCATATCTTTACATGAGCTCCGTCGAACAGTGTATTTTGTAGCTAAGCTAGCAACTGACAGTGACAGCGCGCCATACTCACCATAGACTAGCGTTTAGAAAACTACATATTTGTCTTTGGGTCGATATGGCGCGTAATTTTTAGTTGACCACGTCGTGGTCAAAGCTGATTCTCGTCGCTTGATCGAAGAAGACTCGATTCGTCTAACTTCGGGCGACGAGGTGCATAATATTCGTGCGACTTGGAAAAGCATGGCGTCTGCGCATGCCTCCTACCAGTCCAACACGTATCTTTCCGCCTGTTTCAATGTTTCCGAGTGCGACGTGCGCCATACCGGCGTCACGTCAAAGCCCAATTGAATGTTATGTCGATAGCTACTTCATTTTGTATTTATATTCTGTTACCGATCAACTGACTTGTTTCCGTTTTTTTGTCTGCGACTTTCGACTTGCCGAATTAAGTTCATCGAACTTATAATACTTAACAGTCTTTGGATACGTTTATCACTAAGACCCCGCTTAAAACTTTGTAAATAATTTAATCTCTCGAAAATATATTTCGAACCTTTTTTACCTTTTTCAAAAATTATTTTTATTTTTTCGAATAATCTTTATATTATAGCAACAGTTCAGATAGAATGGTCTGCAACTGCGATGTTTTAAAACTCGTCAAATCGGTTCGGGGTTCGATATGAATTTTCGAACGCATGCGGACGCCGCCGCGAATTCGCGACCGGCGTTTCGTTTTGTCAAATGGGTGCGTGCGTGGCAACTATTTTTAGTTTATGACATAACTCTTTAACGATGACATCCGAAGTATGCAAAGGTGGAAGTGAACAGAACGTTTCGTTTATAGTCCCGTCATATCCAGCTTCATTCAATAAAAAATGTCAAACATATATTATGGACTTAAGAATCAAAAACTTAACTAAAAAAATTGCCACGCACTAGCAAATATATGTCTGCGTGTAGGTATACCGTGACGCCCCCGCCGAGCACGCGCATGCAACACGTGCGCACGCGGCGGAGTCGCACGGCCGACTGGTGCTCCATTCATAAATAACGATATCTTTGTACTCACTCGTTAAGTTACACTCCCTACACTTAACATTACTAAATATACATAAAAATATCACAGCACTATCGATTCACTTACACTAAAAGCGCGCCGCTTTGCGACCGCCGCCACAGATTAAATTATAATAATATAAAGGAATCGAAATAGAAATGCACGAGAGCGCCAGAAGGGAGCTGCAGCTCGAGGCCGCGGTCGAATCTCGTTGAATCTCATATTACTGAGTCGAGTCGCTCGTAAATCTAACTGTTTTCTTTGTGTCGTGTCGTGTTTTACACTGTGTTTTATTTTATAATTTTGATACTACACCTGTGGTTATCTCAAACTTATCAATGTATCAAAGTGTTAATGTTCTAAAAAGGAAAGGATTAAGGGTCCTTTTATAAGCTATTTGATGAAAAAAAAGTTACAAATTTGCCGGTGATATGTATAAAACGAACAGTCCTATCTCTTAAAAATAAATATGGAAATTGAAGAATAGAACATCTACACAAATAATAAAATTGGAGTATCTGTATGTACAATAAAAAAAATGTATGTCAAAGTTTCTGTCCGCAATCCGCGTTGTTGATGGAACTTTGGGAAGTAGCTGACGTTTGCGAGAGTAACATGGGATATTTTTTAAATTCTGATATGAACAATTCGCAGGTAAGGAACTAGTTTTCTTATTAATTTGTTGATAGACAAAGATATCTGTATTGTATTATACGATAATCGTTTGAAAGTTGGACTAGTTTAGTCTCATATTAAAGATAAACCACAGGTGTTTGACAAAGCCTGAATGTTTGTAATTTGTTGAATCTATGACGTCACCTTCCGTAAGTACGGTTACTTAAACCCATCGCATTAGGCGTCTCCGAAACAAAGCAAAACTTTAAATGCAAATTACAATGTGCCGCAAAATATTCAAGTATTTACAAAGCCAGTGTTCACTGAACAAAGTCTTAAACTAAAGAAATACATTTGAAAATAATTAGAGGTAATAAAATGAATCGGAACGTTTGAAACGAGAGTCAATCGCAGATTCCAAACGCCTCACCAACTGCCACACTCATTTCTATGTACACTAAAGACTTCCTTAGCGACCAATTAATGACTTGAGTGTAGCAATTAGTCGTTTGACATGCTTTCATTTTTTTCTAATTCTTTGACCTGAATCAGCAGACATCATGACATCTCGATTTCAAAGAAGCCAAAAATAGTGCTCTGTAAAGCCTAGTCGACACTGGATTCGACGCCAATACAAAGATCAACCATTTCCAGCGTCGATACTCCAAAGTACGACCAGTCCAAACATAAAAAAACCATTAACCCCACGATTCATACACATGCCAAGAAAATTCATACAAGACATACTAGGAGCGAGCCGCGACGTGCCTCGGGCCGCTCCAACGAGCAATAGAAGTAAAGGAAATATCTTAACTAAATGAGGTAGCAATATTATGAATATGATTACAAGTTACATGTCTAATGTTTGGTGGGATATATGTTATAAATGTATATTATATCAACATTAAAATACTTCCTATGGGTTAGTGAGGTACATAATCGTTCCTGTGAGGTAGGTGCGGGTAATCGCCCCGTGTACATATAATATATAACTATAACTATGTAAACCGTTTCAAAATATATCTGTGTTGATGAGGGACATCAAGTTGTCTCCGTACGCGTACTCATTGTATACTTTGGTAATGAGGGGTTCCCACTTAGCGGGCTCGTAGCTGGGCGCGGTGTGCACCTCAGTGTCGTGTGCGGCCGCGTACTCTGTCGCGTACTCGGCCACGTACACGGGTGCGTACTCGGGCGCGTACGCGGCGGTTGTGTACGCAGGTTCGTAGGCGGGTACGTACGCGGCGTGATGCGGTTGGTGCGGCTGGTGCGGTTGATGCGGCTGGTGCGGTTGATGCGCGAGGCGGACGGTGAGGCGCGGGTCGATGTGCGGCAGGTCGCGCTCCTCGAGGTCGATGAAGCCGAAGCCGTCTCCCTCCAGGCCGCTGTTGAACTCTGGCCCGTACTCACGCGGGTAGTCGCCCGTCGACGAGCTCTCCGTCACCAAACACTCGTCTATGGATTCTGAAAACACAAACATCACAATATTCTTAGCAATTCGAAATATTTTAAGACAGGCAGGTGCCGAATGGACTGATTTAAAATATTTGACTGCAGTTTTTTTTAAATTCCTTAAATGACACTCACCTGGCGTGAACAGACTGGTGCTCTCGGCCAACACATCGGTGCACATGTCGGCGGATTCAAATATTTGCATGTCGTTTTCTATAGCCACGGGTTCAATGCCGTCCGACTCCATGGTGCTGTCATCAGATTGAACCGATTTGTTTGTGTCAGCCTCTGTATCTAAGTTTGTGTCCGATGTCTCTGAGGTTATAGTATTACCGGGGCTAGCCTGTGATCCACTGATGTCTGTAGAATTTTCACTATTAGATTCAAGCGGGGCTTCGCTAACTTTCTTCATTTTACCTTTAATGTTGTGTATTCTTCGCATATGTTTCATCCAATTGGGATAGCTGGCGAATGTTTTGGGGCAAGCATCGCATTTGTAAGGCTTGAGGCCGGCGTGCGTGTTCATGTGCTGCTGTAGGTGCTGTCGTCCGGGGAAACCCTTGCCGCAGCGGCTGCAGGTGTGCTCCTTCACCTCCGCATGGGTCTTGCTGTGCTCCACCAGTCGGTTCCTGGCGTTGTATATCTTGCCGCACACCTTGCAGATGTGGATAACAGATTCAAAGTGCTTCGAGATGTGTTTTCTCACCATGTGCTTCTCTCCATAGTTCTTGTTGCATATGGGACACTTGTGTACAGTTTTTCTGTGCGCCTCTAGATGCTTCTCACAGGAAGACAGCGTTGTGAAGAGTAGACCGCATACACGGCACCGCATCTGTGACTCGTCATGACTGCGCAGGTGCAAGGTTAGCTCTTTTGGTGTTTGGAAACTAAAAAGGGAAGAAAAAAAACATTAGAATTATCTGCATCCTAGAATTAAGCAAAATAAAATGTAATATTGGGCAGTTTTCTTTAGATGTAGTTAAGTTAGTGTAGGGACTTACATATCGTCGCAGCCATGTGGGCAGGGCACACATGAAATGCCGTGGTGGTCGCGCAGATGCGTGCGCATGGCGCGTTGCGTGGCGAAGCGGCGGTCGCAACGTGCGCAAGCGAAAGGCTTCTCTGTGGGCTCGTGTGCGCGCGCGCCGTGGTACGCCTCCGTGTGAGCTGCCAGCAGCGAAGGACGGGCGAAGGTCTTCAAGCAATGGTCACATCTGAAAAAAATCACAAACTTAGTAAACATTCACTTAGACTTAACTAAGCTATAGCAAAATATTCCACCAGATGATTACAAAACTTACTTGAATCTGTTCTTCATATAATGGTAGTAGCAGTGGTTAGCAAATATGGAGTACTTTTCACATTGCTTCTCGCATTTGTTACAAGTGTACACAATGTCCAGTTCGCCATGTTTCAGAGAGAAGTGAGCATCAAAAGCCAAACGGTTTTTATGCACGGTGAAGCAAATGCAGCATGATATGCCACCGAGATTTTCTATGATATCATCGGGAGGTATTTCTTCGACGTTCAAGCTGGTTTCATCAATGTCTTCAACTTTAAAGTGCTGCCTAAGATGTATGACTGCTTCATGTTTTTTGGTTTCGTTTTTACCGCAGATGGGGCACATGTATATGAAGGAGGAATGCAGGCTGATATGGTCCTCGCAGCTGTCCACGCTGTTGATTTGCTTGTTGCATGACTGACAATTGTATGGCGGATTGTCGGTATTGTGAACAATCTGATGGATCTGCCATTCTTTTTTTGAATTAAAACTGTAAATAATATAGTTTATGTATTATTATTTAGTTTATATATTACAATATGGCTTCTTTCGGGTATACTGCGGTATCATAATTTAGTTGCCCGCCATGTCAGAAAGTTTTGTTCGTCTAAGTTTTATAAAGAAAAGTAAAAATTATATTACAAGAAATATAAACTTTTGTCACTTTACATAAATGTACACCACATACCAGATAAAGCTAGAATAAATGTTTACAGATATGTTATTGCCTTTTTTTAACTTCATAGAAGTCTTTATACAGAATACAATTTTAGGTGGAGGGGAGCATTGCAGGATGCAGTGCCCCAATGACCTAGAACTGCCAAGATATTCAAAAATAACTAAAACAAAGTCCAAAAACTTACTTTTTGTTGCACGAACGGCAATTGAAATTATGTTGAGTGTTGATATGTTCTTTTAGAGCTATAAATTTTGAAAACTCCCTATTACAGTGATCGCACCTAAAATAAGATGTATTTAATTAACTTCTACATAAACATTTAAGCTCCCAATTCATTACTTAAAAGTTTCCAAACCAGTGGCAGACCCAACATTTTACATTTCTTCAATATTGTCTTTGGATAACTTACTTGAATTTACTTTTAATAACATGCTTGGTGTAACAATGGCCTCGGAAGCTGGGGTAGCCGGAGATGCTCTGGTTGCACACTACGCATGTATACACTATGGCTGCTTTATTTCCCTCATGTTTGACATAGTGAGCATCATAATCCTTTTTGTTCTGGAACTTTGACTGACATATGTGACAATGGATGCCGCCAACTATCTCAATTGTTGTCAGCTTTTTGCTCTGGTCTGTCTTGCTAGCTGAATCCAAATGGGTGGGTGAAGCCATTATTGTGTTTCTAAGTGTGATCCATTTATTGCATATATCTAGTTCTATGTCATATGGATGTACATAATGTGGCTATTGCAAACATTTTATTCTCCTATTGTTCGCGCCTACATGTTTCTTTTATTGTTTTTGGCCTGAAAACAATTATGTTTACTTTATCAGTGGAACGAATAGCAACACTAGTCGTGTAATAAAACATAAATGTGGTAATTCGACTAATCATTTATAATATAACCGGCTAAACACCAGACGATTGAAAGCAAGGTCAAATTTCATTCATAAACTTGCAAAAATAATTTACATAAGTTGAAGGCAACGCATTTCATTGAGTTGTTTTTGCACATCATCACGATAATAAAACTGGCTACTTAAAATCAATGGAGTTCATAAAGTTCGACTGATAAATATATAACAAAATCGAAGTGAGCATCGTACAATAACTTTACGCCGAAGGCGACCTTGACAGGGAACTATGCAAAAGAAAAAGTTAAACTTTTATTCAATTTTTAAAAACTTCATCATATTAGTATGGAATTTTTTAATCTCTATAGCGCCACATTAATACACTAAAATCGATTTTCATGAAAATCAATTATCATCGAAAATCAAGTCTTTATAATTAACTTCTCATTTAAGGTTTATTTAAAGTAAATAATTTTTACAAATTTATGTTTTACACTTACAATATTGGATGAAAGTGGATAGATAGGCATCGGACACAAGCACAACGTTACATTTTATGAAATAAAGATAAAACTGTTAAAAATTTAACACCGGACGACAAACAACGCCAAGAAAACGTGTGAACGTTTGATGTGTGTGTTGCATTGCATTTGGTTTGCAGCTGTGTGGGTATGGTATTTTGCATGTGTGACAAAAATCGATTCTGTAAAGTTAAACCGGTAACACCAAATATAAAATTCATTTACATTTTTACGAAATAGCAAAATAACTTTACCCTGCATAGGTAAAAAGATCTGGAAACATTGCAGAACCATTTAACTTTAAATTTATTTTTAAATTGAACCAGTAACTCCTGAAAAAGTATAAATTAAAATTCACCTTAAGAGAATAAAATGAATAGCAGTGTGAAGACTAATTGATTATAGCTTGTTAAACCGTAACCTTTAAAGTTTGTTTTAAATTTATTTGTTAGTTTCAAAAATGTTATAATTTATATTTATATTTTATCGCTACTTTGTTTTCAGACGTATTATTATTTCAGATGTCAAAGTCAAAAACCAAAATGTCTTGAAAAAAAAACCGATTTCCAAAATCCAGAAAAATATATTTCTACCCGTAATTAATTTAGCAAGAAAATACTTTTATAAAATTAATGAAATAAAAAGTCAATAGATGTTAATGGAAACAAAAAAAATAACAATTTACATTTGTTAATGGTTATCGGAGAATAAGAAGATATTGATAGTGAGAACTTATTTTGTGGTAAGTTTTATTATTTTCACAATATATTATGTTATAGTTTAAAAAAAAATTGAATTAACGTAATTTATTACAACTATTTATTAAAATATAATCGAATATGTTTAAAATAAAACCAAACAATTTTATTGTCCCTTTACAATAAAACATTGAAGTTTTGGAGTAATTACTCCAAAACTTCAATGTTACATACATAGTAAATTTACTATGTATGTTTTTTCCATCCAGTCCCGTATATTTCAGCATATGTTTTGTAATCAACAGCTGTTTCTGGCTGGGTGCCAATTGAAACTAAAAATAACTCACGGTTCACTTATTCACACGTTTCTACAGTTTATTCCTATTAATCGCGATTAATATCAAAGTTTCGAATATTAATAATGGAACGCCAACATTCCAGTCTTCATGGATCTTTTCGTAGCAAAGATTCGTCATCTACTACAGGGAGTGATCCACGAGAGAAAATAAAAGATTGTCTCAGAAAATTCATTGCTTTTATGTTTACACAAGTGGGTGTTGGTGCATTAGTTGTTTGTTATGCTATACTTGGTGCTGCTAGCTTTATGCACATAGAAAAGGACAGTCCCGATGAACAATTGGAAAATGTCAAACAGTGGAGAAGAAGTTGTGCAGAGGAACTGTGGAACATAACCGTAAACAATAACATATTCAATGAAACCGCTTGGGAAATAAATATAAACAAAGTGCTAAAGGTTTATCAGAGTAATATAACTGGAGCTGTACATACGGGCTACAATGGCAGATCTGCAGAAGATATCTGGTCTTTTCCTGCAGCACTTATGTACTCCTTGTCAGTATTTACGATGATTGGTTATGGGAATATTGTACCTAAGACTGTTTGGGGTAAAATTGTTACCATAGCCTATGCTTGCTTTGGTATACCAATATATATTTTATATTTTTGTAACATGGGCAAAGTTCTTGCACAGACATTTAAATGGCTTTATATAACTGCGCATGAATGCAGCAGGAGAGAAGATACTATGTTTGAAGAGGGTGAAATTCAACAGATTAAACGTAAAATTACAGTACCATCAACTGCTTGTCTTTGGGTGATATCTTTTTATATTTTAACTGGAACAATTATGTTCGGTGCGTGGGAGAAATGGAATTATTTGGACTCTACGTATTTCTGTGTGATCAGTTTGTGCAAGATTGGTTTTGGTGATTTTGTTCCGGGAGCTAATATTACTGATTCCGCGGGTGGTTCTCATTTGAAGTTGGTTATTAACTTTATCTATGTTCTATTGGGTATGGGTCTTGTTGCTATGTGCTATAATCTGATGTGTGAAGATGTGAGAGTCAAGGTGCGGGAGCTGAGAGAAGATCTAAAGAATTGTCTTGATGATATCACTCTAAAGATTACAGTCTGTATGAATGACACTAAATATTACCATCAGAAACAAACACGTCATATAAAGTGATGTTAACTTTATGTCTAGAATAAATTAAAATTGAGTGAGAAATAATGAGGTGATATACTCATAGTATGTAATTTACAACACATACAATGTATATTCAAATATTTTTGATATAGTTGATATAGAATTACATGTTTATTTTTATGTAAAATTTTTAATGTTAAGAAATTAAAGTTATTTATTAATCTAAGTTCTGTAAAGTTTAACATATTATAATAAAGTTTTCTATGAAGTTGTCTTGTACTCATTTATATTTCCATAAATATTTACAGATGATTTATCAAATGCCTTCCTTCCTTTCTTTCCCTTCTTTTTGAAGTTTGTTAGAAATTAATCTGTTCTAATTTGTCCTCTTATTGTACATTATGTGCAACGCTTTTTTGGTAATAAACAATTATATTTTTTATTCTATAGTAGCGATGAGTTAGACAAATGCGTCCACTCAGACTGCGGCGCGTGGTGGGGCTGGAGGGGCGCGCCAATGACGTCGTGTTCTACCCCGCGCCCCGCCCCGTCACACCCCCGCACAAGCTCGGCGCGCTTGTGTTTTTTGGTGGGGATGTACAGGTGAACAAACTAATACCTTGTCCAGAAATGTATAGATTCATTTTACATTTATTGCTGAATAAAAAAGATCATATATACAGGATTACCCGGAAATAATGCAAGCGCACCGCGACTACAGAAACTATTTAAAGTACAATTTGGAAACCACGGCACGCATGCTCGGACACAACTTCCCCACAAAACATGTAGTGGTTGTGAAACCTTCTAGGTATGTATATACAAATATATAAATGCCATACTGAAAATATACCAATATAAGTCACAAGCGACTCGAAGGACCAATATTTTAAAATGTATATAAGCTTTTAGTAGTCATTGGTATGCATATTTTGACAGGATAGAGTATAAAAGCTTCAGCTGCTATGACAACTTCGTGCCCGGCAACAACGCTGGCGTGCCCGATCACACGCCCACGCACAGTGCCCTCCTGCACCTAGAGAGGTACATTAACTTACATTTCAGAGAGAGAGTCACAAGTACAAACCTTACTGTACTTTAAACATGTTCATAAAACTAAAAGATTTATAATCGAGAAGAGATTTATTAATTACGCAAAAAAACAAGTCGAAATGATAACCTCCTTCTTTTTATTGTCGGACAAAATCGTTTTCTCGCGAGTATGCAAAATAAAACTTTATTAACCTGAGTCAAAAATGACTTTTTAGTTAATGTTTCGGTGTTACAGGTTACTGCAAGGTGTGAGCTGCAGACTCAAGTCCTTGCCCACTGCTGAGCTGTTGGAGGCAGCCAGCGCGCTGCCCGAGGAGATAGACATAGAAGACCTGCCTGTCAATGTATGTCTTACAACTCTCATTTGAATTAAAATATATGTTAAATATACTTATTATAGTGTTTAATAATTATTCGATGTATGTGGGTAGTTGCAGAAGACGCAGCGCGCGGTGGGCGGGGCGGGCGCCGGCTCCGCCCCACACGAGCCGTGAGTAGGTTTAGTTCCAATCGATGTTGTCATATTTTAACTATATTATACACTAACGAAAACATTTTTGATTACTTCATAAACCATAAAGAATAAGATTTCGTAATCAAGTCATCCGATTTATAATAAATTGTCTTTGGTTGGAAAATTCCGAATTAGGAAGAATTACTTTGAATCTCACTCGCCATAACTTTTTATTTTGCTTAATAATTTTTTTGATGTTTTTGAGTATATATTAAAAAAGTGTAAAATTACCTTTATTTATTTGAAATTAAAAATATTTTTTATTTATTTATTTATTGAAAAACTGCATAGCATATCTTTGTTTTAAAATGCAGGCAATAGATGGCGCTATTATTTTAGAGCCTCAGTGAGGCAGGTTTGTAATTTGAAGGTTAGGTCACTGATCCATATAGATGTTTGTTATTCCTACACTAGTAATGTATCAAATGGATTATCTGAGTGTTGTGTACTTAATACTGGCACGTGGTAGCAGGTCAGTGGTGTGGTGGCGCGAGGGTCTGCGGCTGGAACAGTGCCCGCTGACGCTGGTGGGGTTCAGCAAGGGTTGCGTGGTGCTCAACCAGTTCATCTACGAGTTCCACTACGCGAACACCCTCACGCCCGGAGACGATCACATGAGAAGGTTCTTCCATAATAACTACGTCAAAAGCCCAAATAATGAAAATTTTGTCATACTTTACCCATTACATGTTTGTTTTTTTTTTTAATAAATGGAAAGTAATTTGTGTATTTAGGTTGATGTCTGGCATCTCAGCGATGTACTGGCTGGATGGTGGACACGCGGGCACCAAGAACACCTGGCTCACCGCGCGCAGCCTCCTCGAGACACTCGCTAGGCTCAGTCAGTACTCTCTCTCTCTCTCTCTATCTCTCTGTCTTATTGTCTACAAACATATCACAAACTATGACCACTTGTCTTATATGATTATGCAATGTCGGTTGCTTCCCTTAAAATAAAAACAGTCAAGTAATAAATTCACTTGAGAATTTTATACCGTTTTAATATCATCAAATACAACTGGCATTCTGTAAACAGTAACTTGCGCCAGTGAGCCTGTCTTACTGTACTGGCATACTCTTATGTGAAACAGACGTCAATATCTACGTGCACGTGAGCCCGTACCAGGTGGAGGACGAGGGCAGGCCCTGGATCGGCCGCGAGGAGCGCGCCTTCACCGCACTGCTCAGGAAACTCGGCGCTAAGGTACACAAACCTTTATAATTAATCAAGCTTATTCTACAGCGAACTTTAACTTCCCAACAATGTTGTAAAAATTGGTATATTCATGATTTGGTTTGACTTTCTTGAATAGTAAAGAAAAATATACCTCGTTACCAGACAATAAAAAAAACTTTTTAAAATGATTTCAGTAGATTTTCAATTTAATACTAATATTACAGATCCGGAAGTTTAGATTGTAGCATGTTTGTTAGAATATATCTCCAGAACTGTTCAACGAATCTCTATGAAGTTTGGCACCCATGAAACATAGTCTGGAAGAATACAGTCTACTTTAAGTTTTTTTTTTATTTCGCCTAGACGAAACCGCAGGCAACAGCTAGTCTTTAATAAATAATAATTGTACAGGTAAAACGTTACCTGCACGAGCAGCCGGGCGCGCCGCACTCTCTGCACATGCACTTTGAAGTGCTCACATCGTTCGCTACACGCACACGCAACGACACTGATGATGACCAAATGTAACTCACCTCGCTCAGTGACACCAATGTGGGGGCACTGCGATCGCAAGTCCGTGCCCCCGTGCCCCCGGTGGGCGCATTTATTTATAAATGTTTGTCATTAATATGAAACATCCAGTGGCGAGTTTACTTTCATCTAAATCGTAGTAGCATTGAATGTGTTAACATAAAAAGTTGACTTTTATTTGTTTTTAAAATTAATTTTACGAAATTAACTTACGTTATTGTAAAGTGTAAATATGTTTACAATATAAATTGTTTTATTATGAAATTATTTGATCTCAATAATTGTTTATTAGAAATATTCGGTACAAAATAAAGTATATTTTCTATGAATTTAAATTTGTTTCATTTATGAACATCCTTCTTCGTAACATTTCATCATCTTACTAAAAGTAACATAAAGAAAAATATTAGGTAACAAATTAAAATAAAACTACAAAATTTAATTAACACGGTTTATTGAGAAGTTTAATATTAGAATTGCAATTGCACATAACTAACACTTACAAACAACTAGCCAGTGGACACGACCCTTAAATATACCTTAAGCTCTCATTCGCACGGGCGCTTTTTTTATCGCGCGTTAAAAAACTGCTCGTGTGAATAAGCGCTTAGTTAACTACATTTAAACTGTTAGTGATTTTAGAACAATAAACAACAGTTTTTATTTTAACATAACTTGAAGACAAAATATTAAAAGACTGTTATAGTGGTTTAAAAAACATTACGTGTGGACCCGATATAAAGTTACAATAATTAATTATTACTTATGGTGCTCTAATTCACACTAAATTATAAAGAAAAAATAATTTTCTTTTAATATTAAATTTTAATAATTTGCTTGATAAAATATCGAACAATTTTGGATTTGGATTTTTCAATCGGAAGATTTAAAAAAGAACAGAATTAATTAATAATACGTTTTAAAATCATGAGACACTTCATTGGTTGAACTTATAAAACTACAAACACACTAAATTTTGGTGACGAGATCTATATTGTATTACGAGATATGAAAATGCTCAAGATCTAACCTACCCTAGCCCCTGTTATATACTTAAATATGAATATTCATGGAATGTGTTCTTATGAAGTTACCATCACAAATTACTTTTAGAAATAATTACTAAAAAATACTGTAGTGTATGCATAAACGTAGTGTTGTTTGTCTCGAGGGTACATGCCGGAGAGAGGGGACGTTAGTCGATGTCAGGACTTTGGATCGGCAACACGTGTCTGTACGTGAACGAGCCAAATATAACGCAACGAATGCTACAATGGCGACGAGGAAGCACCACGGCTGACCATTAAATTGGTTAGATGATTCATGTCTTGCAAACATGAAAGCAGCACGGCTGACCATTCAATTGGTTAGTAAACGCCGTACTCGGCGAGCAAGTCTACTTATGTCGAAAGAGAGAAGAAAGAAAGATCGAACGGCAATTGCATCGGCAACTATGTTACTTCGGCCTTTCTTACATATAATCGAAAGTTTCCACTTGGAATTGTCGAAAGACCTGCCGGGATCAACAATTTCTATAGGGGGTGAAGAGAAAAAAGCTAAGATAACTTCTAATATGGAGATAACTGCAATGGATACAAACTTGGCCACTCATGTTTCTCAAGGGACAGAAGATGCAACTAAGTGCAATAAATGTCTCTCCCCAGCTATTTTATTTTTAATGCATACACTGCAAATATCACTTTTTTTAGAGATTGAAAGAGACAATATATTTGTCATAATATATTAGAACTTCATTGTATTCCAAAATATTTTATCTCAATTAATTTGCGTATAAGAAATTAAGATTATTCAAAATTAATAAATCCTCGACCAATAAATGATATTAACACATTGCATGCCACTAAGTGAACTCGGTTGGCTAGTCAATGGCATTTATCATGTTAAAGTAACATAGTTATAAGAGCACATTCACATGTTCTGGAAGCGTCCGTCCTTGTCTAGCATGAGTATGTTTGGATTCTCCTTCTCAAACTCTGTGGGCTTGCGGTCTCGCTGCTGGTCGGTCCACTCGCCCTCGCCCACACCCCACTCTCCCACTTTCTCACCTATCACATCTACTTCTGCCTTCGCTCGGATCTTTTCAATCTGTAATAGTTATATGAATAAGACATATGCAACATTACTTTTGACTAAAAAAGCATTTTATTCTCAACCTTAGCCTTCTTAACTTCTCAGAAGGACAAAGAAGTTCCCTTAATTAACAATTATTTACATAAAGGAATTAATTGTTATTATTTATATAGTGGGCAAGAAAGCAATGAATCCTCAAACATATAGTGCACTGCACTCATAAACAATATCACTAGAACTAAATTTGAAAAAAAAAAACTATGTTACTTTGTAAGGAACCGCAGATGTGTTATATCTGTGTGAAAGAGAGCGGACCTGTTACCTCCGAGTCGTGCTTTGCGAACTTATCGAACATGTTCGCGTACAGCTGCTTCTCTTTTTGCTTCTGCTTCTGTATGGCTGCGCGGCACACGATTATTTGATTGCCCGCCGCCTGAATACCGCAAAAATAACATACATTAAATATATATATATGCAAATAAAACAAGAGTTTGATTCATATGGTTAAAAGAGAAAACTAAATACTTTTTAAAATGGTCAGTAATTTTAAGTCTGGGCTTGATATGAGTATAGTGTCTTGTCATGACCTAAAAAATGCATTGTGCAAAACAAAAACGCCTTATTTGTCATGATATTGTAATTTAAAATAGAACTATATGAATAAAGTAATTAAGTAACATTAGAAAATTACAACAAAGTAATACAAAATATTTTTAGACTAACATACCTTATTTTGTGGTTCAGCATCAACAACCTTTTGGAAATCTTCTATAGCCTGCTCCGCTTCTCCCAAGCCAAGAAGTGCTTGGCCCCTTCTAAACCGACCCTTTACATTATCAGGGTCAAACTTCAGGGCCTTCGTGGCAAAGTCCCTCGCCTCAAAGTGATGTGCCGGTGTCACTTTCAGGTAAACCAGGGAGAGGTTCAAATATGCTGATAGTAGTAATTCCTTGGCCTGTGTTTTGTTCTCTTCACTCTCTGATGTGTCTTCAATCATATCTAAATGTATAAAATATTGATCATTAAATGTAGGACATAAATAAATATCTTGTAAAATATTAGCAAATAACCACAGCACAGTCGGTTATGGCCTATTAACCCCTAACTTAGGTTACACTGTGAGCCCCTCGATGGGTATGTATATTGACCTGATGATGAAATTATCACAGATAACCTAATTTTTCCATGTTTGTCATTCAGTAAACATTACTTATAGAACCTCACCTTCAAGTAAACTAGTAACCCTCTTGTACATTTTAATAGCTAGTTGGAATTTGTTGTTCTTAAAATACCCGGTGCCCTTCTCTTTGAATATCTTTGCTTGCTCAAGTTTTTCTGCCCCGTCCATAGCCCATGACTCTTTGGCTTTCTCAAAATTAACTAATTTCACTATATATTCTAAGGTTGTGTCTGGAGGGACACCTAGAGTTGCATTTCCTTCTGATTTGAATCCATATTTTGGTGCAATGGTCAATCTGGATTTTTCACCTTTTTGAAACTTCTCTAGGGCCCTTTCAATACCTTCACATATATTATTCTCGGTTCCTTCACCGAGGGTGAAGCTCAATGTTCTTGTATCAAACACTTTACCATCAGCTTGTAAACGCCCCTCAAGTTCAACTAAAAAAGATTTACATAGTTTTAAAACCCTTGAAAAAAATAATAACCACTAAAAATCTTTTAAAAAACATACTATATAAATTTTAGAATTGTGTGCATTTAAAGGGTTAACATCTACCTGTAACCAGTGCCCCATCATTAGGATAATCCAGCCCAGACCCTTGCTCTAGGATGTGCCGAAGGATTCCCTTCTTCTTACCAGGGCTAAGATCTTCCACTTTCCAGTCAATCATTTCAACCTATAAAAAGTAAAAACATGTATAACATGTATAAATGAAGGTAGAATATTCAACAACTTAAAACAAAATGTGCAAATACAATACCACAAACTGTAAAGTAGAATTAGGTGGTATTTTAGGTGGGCTTCCAGCAGCACCATAAGCATACTCTGGTGCACATGTCAACACACACACTTCCCCTTTCTTCATCGTCGCCACTCCAATGTCCCATGCTTTTATCACCTCACCTAAATAATACAAAGGTTTGAATTATTTTGATTGAATTATTTCTTTATTTTTGTTATCTATTTCAGTCTCTGAATAAAACCTAAGATGTGCTTCTATGGGTATATTCAGCAGTGATAAACTCAATTTTATAGATAAAGCATTTTTTTCTATAGCCATAAACACAGGAAGTGGTTAGTGGGACTGTGGTTAAAGTTTTATTATCAACACATAACACACTTGTGATAAATGGCAACAATATTGTGGTCCTATTTAGCCTACTTGAGAATTGATTAATTTTATTTAAATTTTATGAAATAACCTAATGAACCTTTGAATAAAATTAGTAACCTATACCTAACTTTTCCAAGGTCTGTTTTTGATTCGCTTTTGACATTGATAAATGTCCAGGGCAGATAGATTTCATTTAGTATAACAATAAGCAAATTGTTGGTTTAAAAATGGGAAAATATGAAACTTCCTAATTTCCTTTTATGATAGAACCAATGGCCACTATCACCATAAAGTATACTATACTCAAGTTGAGTTACACTAGATTGTACTGCATCCAAGCGTGTCTATGTGCTATAAAGAAAAAGAAGTACGATGAAGTTCTATCAGATTTTTTATTTATTTACGCTATATTTCTTCCAGTACTTACCTTTGCCAAGTTGAAACTCGAAAGGATCGTTTCTGTCTTTACTGGAATCAAATTTAGTACCATCTAAAAGAGTGCCAGTGTAATGAACAGTAACCTGACAACCTGGATTAGGTGTGTCGGAGCCTTCTCCTTCTTTGATGATCCTCTTCAATACTCCGCGGTCTCCCGCCTTAGAAATATCGATCCCTTCGTCTACAGTCATAATGTAATTAAAATAATTTTATATATACACAATTTAAGAAGACACAATCAATGTCTTTGCAAAAGTACGAAAAATTGGTAAAAATCGCCGGTACAAAACGTGCGATCAGCGTTCACAGACAACGACAAGAAACAACGACCACGAAGTACAAACCACAGATATTTAAAACATTACATTGGAAATTTCTAGACGTTACGAGTGTGGACACTTTTCGTTTAAAAATCATATTAGATTAGATATTTTGGTTGTGATTTTAACGGTAAATACAAATTTAATTTGGCAATCACAATACATTTTTCTGCTTAAATGAGTTCTGTCATCTTCAGTTATAATTCATCTTTTAACTTTTACACAAAACAACAATCACTCAATCTGGGATATTAGATATAACCAAATTATTTAAATGAAGTTTAAGAAAA